GTAACTCTGCGTTTTAAGAATATTATTGAATTATTGAAGATGGCCAGATTGTGGCCGAAACGTTTAATGTTTTAATTAATGTAATAATAATTAAATATTACAAACTATAACTTGTGCTGTGGTTTCTTATGCTCTTCTTTTTATACGTTTTATATTATTTAATGTTGAAGAAAAAATAGTTCATTAATTCTAATTTCGATTAGTCCGTTCGAAGATTCTTTTCTCTTCTTTCCGTTCAATTTAAAAACGTAATTACTGTAGTTATTCAATGAGATTATTTGATACTGCGACATGTAGAAATTAAGTTTAGAATCTAAAGCGAGATTGGAAAAGTTTATCGCGAGAGAAGCTCCCCCTTCGCGAATTAGCCCGCCAGATTCGTCCGAAGAAAAGACGAAGACGTTGCAGTCGTAAATAAGTACGAACGTTTATTTCTCTGATGCCTCGTATTTCGGCAATTTTCTGGTACTGCGTGCTTCTTTAAGATATTCAAAAGCGCCGAAATATGGCTAGCAATTTTCAGCGTTGCACTTAAGGCATTATTGACCGTTACACGAGGAAGACTCCAATGTCGCAAATGAAATACACTTTAATTCGACGTAATTAGATAAGAGTGAGACATTATTTTTATATCCGTATTTTTTCAGGGTCTGACGGTTCAAGTGGATGAAGCTGGAAATATGATCATCGCTAGAATCCTTGGTGGTAGTACGGCGGCTCGTCAAGAACTTCTAAAGACCGGTGAGGTAATACTCGAAGTCAACGGCAAGAGAGTTCGAAATCCTGAAGAACTCCAACAGGCGATTCAGGATGCCAAGGAGAATCTATCCTTGAAATTGGCTCCAGGCATCGCATCGGAAACGAACCAACCTCTCAAGTCCACGGTGAGTTACAAGCTGTTTTTCCATCTCGATGCCTCTGATAACAACTATGTTCTCATTCTCCTTCCATACAATGCTCATTCAAGCGCGGAGAACACGACGTCGGCGTCGTAATCGCAGAGCAATGAAAATTTATAATAATTTTGTTGAGCTACCGCTTTAATTTGATTTGTCATTGCAGTGTTACATGAGGGCCCTCTTCGATTACGATCCCTCGGAGGATACGCTTCTACCCTGTCGAGAAATCGGTCTACCTTTTCAGAAGGGCGATATCCTTCAGATTGTTGATCAGGTTGATCCGAATTGGTGGCAGGCGAGAAGAGTAGAGGGCGAGAATCTTGGATCGCCCGGACTAATACCCTCGTTGGAACTGGAAGAGCGCAGAAAGGCATTTGTATCCCCCGAAGCTGATTTCGTTCATAAAATCAGCATCTGCGGTACTAGGATATCTAAGAAGAAGAAGAGAAAGATGTATCAATCCAAATCGAACGGCGAGTTCGATAGTGCCGAATTGCTTCTTTACGAGGAAGTCGCTCGGATGCCGCCGTTTCGACGCAAAACTTTGGCTCTGGTCGGGCCACGCGGCGTAGGTCGTCGGACCCTGAAGAATAGGCTGATCAACAGTGATCCCGAAAAGTTTGGCACTATCGTACCCTGTAAGAAATATTTAATTAATTCATGTTTCATCAATCGATACTGATAGCTTGATTATCGATACTAAGCGAATGTAATCTCTTTGCAGACACATCGAGACCGCCTAGAGTTCTCGAAGAGGACGGCAAGAGTTACTGGTTTACCGATCGCCAGTCCATGGAGATCGATATCAAAGAACACAGGTTCCTGGAACACGGTGAACACGGTGGACATTTATATGGCACGAAACTGGACTCGGTGCGGGAACTGATCAGAGCCGGCAAGATGTGCGTGCTAGACTGCAGTCCAGCTGCACTCAAAATCCTTCATAACAGCACCGAATTTATGCCTTATGTCATATTCATCGCCGCGCCCGGGATGGAGCAGCTGAAGTCTTTATACGATCTCGGGAGATCGACTGGTGCCAGCAGTCGAAATCTAACGGTATATATCTCAAATCTCTATATTCTCTTTAGAGCTCCTCCTCGATTTCATGCTAGCAATCTATATGCGACAACTTATTTATTTCATTGTTTATTTTATTTTTATTCCATCACTTTAGTTAATTGTTGTATAAATTTGATGTTGGCTTTGCTAGTTCGACCGCCAGAGTTCCATCAGGTACAGCTCGAGAAGAGCCAGGACACTGGAGTCTCTCGCATCTTTATATGAGGTTTGTACCGCATGATTCGTATTGTTTTATTATATTATTATGCAGCATGTATTTACAGCAATCTGGAATGTCACAAAATTATTAATAGTTACCGATTTAGTTACGTATTTTAGTATCTCTTTTTCGCACGATATTATTTTAATTCATAGAATAGAGCTCTTCAATGCTTAATCACGGGAGCCATGAAAATATAATCTCATCTTTTTCTTAACAGTTCGTGTCTTTATACATAAATGTAATCAAATAACTCTTTAAGCCCTTTTTATAACTCGCGGAATTAAAGAAATTACGTTTGTGATCTTATCTAAAATGCATCTTACACGCTTTTATCATGAATTAATTAGAAAAAAAAATATTTTATATAAGGGCATTGTGAAAACAAGAAATTAATTGATGATTCATTTCATAGGAGGACGATTTAAAATCCACGTTGGAGGAATCTGCGGCCCTGCAAAGAGCCTATGAAAAGTACATCGACCAAGTGATTGTAAATGAAGACTTTGACAATACGTTCAGGCAGGTGATCGCAGCTTTGGATGCCTTAGCCACAGAGCATCAGTGGGTGCCGGTCAATTGGATCTACTAATTAGATTCTAAATTTTGTGTTCAACATCGAAAGACTCGAGAGTCAAGGGCTGCTAGAAATTTTAGCGCGAATAAAAAAAAGTTTGTTTATTACTGCCCACATCACGTACGAAAACTGTGAGATTACATTACGAGAAGTGGTATTTAGAATCAAACTCTCACTTGTCGCGCGGCTAGGAAAACGCAAAGCACGTGTAATCAGAGTACAAAGAATGCTACGAATATCTCACGCCGCGACGTGAAGCGATATCGACATTGTCGCGTAAAAAGCGCGGTCAAGAATCTCATTATTATCGTTTATCATAATTAAATATAGCGTTTACGTTAGTTTGTTATAGATTTACAAACGACCCGTTTTGCGTATGGAATCTCATTAAAAATCCTTATTTCACACATTATACGTTAAATCATAATGTATAGATTTTTCATATTGCTGCAAAATCTCTGAAATATTGCTGCAACATGCAATGTTGCAACTTTTGTGCTGTAGGAATTGCAGAGAACCACGAATCTTCTCAATAATGATATGTGAGACTGGTTATACTCAAAAATGGAAAGTGAGTACTTTTTTTACAATGAAAAATCATATCGCATGCTACATTTTTACTGCCAATCTCGACAATGACTGTAGAAGCAATTCGGGTCGATTGATGTGTTAGACCGCCGTCCAGTTAATTTTAGTGTATTTTTAATTTAATTAACAATAACTGCGTACATATATACGATCATTTATATCTATTCGCGACTCCGCTATACACCTTTCTCGTGAATTCTGTTTCGTGTTTCATTTTGCTATTCGTGCACGCTAAAGTAATATTCCTGGCATGGAGTGCCTTAATAACGCGAAGACTATAGGCAATATTCATATTCGGTATTTCATATTCATATTTGGTCATTTCTTATATTTTAAGATCGTCTTAAGATGCTAATATGGTTATCTGACGGTTGGTTCATGACATCTTAAGACTGTGACGTACTTAAGACGGTCCTAAGGTCCGACTATGAATATTGTCCTACAATTGATTTAATGCGAAGACTTATTATGTCGACTTGACAGACTCATCTTGCATTCGGGTTTCATGATGGATAAAACTAACCATTGCCTTTTTTCTAACGTCTCCGACGGACAGTCGCGTATTCACGCATATGCATATGCACACGTATACACATTCGAATTTTTTAATTCACACATGCATCTTAAAAAAAAAATACATATACTTATAGATTAAAAGGGTTGCTTTGTACACAGAATACAACTATAAATAAATCTGTATATTAAATCGAAACACCTGTCCTGAAGAGCAACGTGATGCACGATGTGGAATAAAGTTTATCGAGCATTTGTTACGGATTAGAATTGTGCAACGAATGAATTATTATTTCAGTATTCCTGTCCTCGCTCCTTTTTCAGGATTCTGCGAAAGGACGTTTATCAAACCGAAAATGTTACTAACGATAGATATAAGGATTTAATAAATTTTTTATCATCATTATAAATTGAAAATATGTAATTAGGTAAAAACAATAATTTTTATACATGTGTATTATATTCTCTTCTTCTCTTTTTTAATACAAATCTGTATCAGATTTTTCTTATACATGTAAAAATTAAAACAGATAAAATAAAAATCTTAGGGGAATTAATTTCTTTTATAAATAATATCTAATATGTATTTAAAAGAATATGCGAAGAACGTTCTTTATAAACTTCTGTAAACAGATTTATTCATCGTAAGTACTGTTATATAAATAACATCTATATAACATTTTATTTTTATTATTTGTTACTATTTGAAACGAATGAAAACAAAAAACGACGATCTCCAGGGAATCAATTTCTCTCGTAAAAAAAAATACCTTATTTATTATATTTATTATGATAAAAGAATATAGGAAGCGTGTTTAATGATCATAAAAAAATTTATATTTGCGTTATAAACTTTCATAAATAGCACATGTAACATTTTTATTTCATAAAAGTAATTAAAAATATTCCTTTAATCTTTTATTTAAAAAACCTAATCTTTTAAAAATATATTAACGTTATTAATTTTCACCAATGATTGACATTACAGGAATAATGAACTCGTGACAAAAATAACGTTATTAAAAAACGACGTTATTAAATGTTATATCGACTTTATCGTTTAAATAAATTAAATAAATGGAGAAAGATTTTTCTCAGTGCGAAAGTGGCGGTCTCGAAAGCCAGTTCCTTTTATTTGCAATGTTGTGTGAGATTCCTCGTTCTTCTCTCTCCTTCCGATGCGCGGATATATATCCGTCTTCTTTGTAAGTGCAGCAGAGATGTACGAAAACGGAGCCTACCGGCCTACCGGCTGATCGGCCAATGGCAGCGTATTATCTGCCACGTTTCAAGGTGGCAGAGTGGCTTGTCATAAACTCATGACACGTACGTGTCGTACGGGAAAACCCTCGGGCCGCTGTAAGCGATCGCCGCGTACCATTTCCTCGCCGTCGTCGGGAAGATGCAGATGCTACGGCAACTGGACGTGCACCCGAAGGTGCGCGAGGAGGCAGATATCCTCGTGAGGACTTTCAGCGGTGCTATCGGTAAACACAGTGTATTCTGTCACGATACCGAACGACGATGACGATAATCATCCGTCGCCGGCGAAAATGAAACTTGGAGAACCGCCACGAGGACTAAATGTGTCATTTACGTTCCACTGCGCTAAATAGTGTTGCTTGGTGCGAGGCGAAACGATACCGGCGAGCGATTAACCTCCTAGAATTTTTCCGCTCTCTGTTGACTCTCATTAAAATACTTGACTGAAATATTTTTATGAGTCACAATATATTCCATTAAAATATTTTATCCGGATCATCCAACATTTGAATTCGCGTTCTGTAATATTCGTACAAATGTTTGTGTTTGTTTTGTTTCTCCACATGTTTCTTGATGTTTGTTAATAAAATTATTTGTTTACACTTGGCTGATAGTAAATAAAGCAGTTTGACGTATATTATGTTTGATAAGAAAGATGCCTGTTCTTTTTAACTGAACTTTTGCACCAGTTCATCTTTCTTCCGTTTCTCTCCAGAAGAAAAGAAGAGGAAGAAGGTGAATTGCAAAAGTTCAGTTAAAAAGAACAGGCCTAAGAATTCTCATGTTACATCAATACAAATGATGAAATAATACCTTTTCAGTTACAATCATTAGTACAATTATCATGGGCATACTGTTTTTGTCAGAGATAAACTATTATCTTACACCAACTATGAGCGAGGAATTATTTGTAGACACATCCAGGGGTTCTAAATTAAGAATCAACTTGGATATAATAGTTCCTTCTATATCTTGTGATCGTAAGTATAAATTGCACCGGTACATAGGCGAAGAATGATATCAGTCTCAGTCATTTCAGTGTTTTGCAGTTTTATCGTTAGACGCCATGGATACAACGGGCGAACAGCATTTGCACATAGAGCACAATATTTTTAAGAGACGGTTAGACCTGAATGGTAACCCCATAGAAGATCCACAAAGAACAAGTAAGCATAATATTCTTTACAATATATACAACACCAGCCAAAAGTGCCATGTAAAAAAAATGTTTTATTGTAGATATTACAGATGCAAAGGCAATGAGTAAAACTACAGAGAAGGTAATGCAAGATTTCTATAGGTATTTTCTGACTGAAATTTCCATTTGGAAATTAGTTGTTATTAGATAGAACATTTTTACAGGCAGTGGAGATCGGTTCTACTACAGAGCTCTGTGGAGATTGCTATGGAGCAACCACAGACACTATGAAGTAAGATCTCATTTTTATTAGGACACTGAAATATAATTCTATTAGTATTCTACTTGCAATAGATTTTATTCATAAGATTAATCTATAATGCTCTTTGCTCTTCCTGTTCCCTATTTTTTTACCCATTTTTATCTCTGTCTTTTTGCTCCTGTTTCTTCGATTTTATCATCAGGATAGCGATCATGTAACTTTCCCAGAAACGTGAAAATTCTTTATATATATGTGTGTATATGTACGAACATACATAAAAATTTTCACTTCACGTTTCCGTTCTAGCGAAAAAGTTACATGATCGCTACCCTGGGCACCTATCATGAATCTATCATGGAACAAAATCGGAATGGATTCTGATCGGAATTATTCAATTATTCGCTAGATTTCTATTGTGTTTTCTGAGGAAAACGGAATAATTCCGATCGGAATCCATTCCGACTTTGTTCCATGATAGATACCCAGAAAAGAAGTTGATAAAGTGGAAGAGATAAAAAAAATGATTATAAAAATGATAAAACAGTCGCAAAGAAGACAAAAGGAAAGAGATAAAAATAATAAAAAATAAAATAACAAAAAAGCAAACAGTACATTGTAGATTAGTTTCTTTTTAGAGATGAACTACTTCCACAGTTTACTCCCTAAATTCTTTGAAAATCTCACTTTAAAGAGTGAAATCTTTAAAAAAAAAATCACTCTAAAAATTTTATTTTTTCTTTTTCTATTGGAAGATGAAATCTATCAAACCCACATTTTATAAAATTTCATTTGTTCGCAGATGTTGCAATACCTGCGAGGATGTATGGGAGGCCTATAGACGAAAAAAGTGGGCTCCGCCGGATCCGGCTGACGTTAAACAGTGTCAGAATGACAAATCCATGGATAAACTCAAACATGCCTTCACGCAAGGTTGTCAGATTTACGGTTATATGGAAGTGAATAGAGTCGGTGGTAGTTTTCACATCGCGCCAGGCGCCAGCTTTTCGGTCAATCACGTTCATGGTGAGCTAATAAAACTCAAGTTTTTTTAAAACAATATTTCCAGTGCCATGCTTATGAGCTCGTTCTTTGATGCCGCAGTGCACGATGTTCAGCCTTACACTTCATCCCATTTCAATATGACGCACAAGATTAGACATTTAAGTTTTGGGCTTAACATCCCAGGGAAAACAAATCCTATGGATGGCATGACAGTGGTCGACATGGATGGTATGTCCTTGAAATCCTTAATTCTATTTTTATTAAAGACTTAATGACTCGCGCTTACAATACAAACAGTGCAATGAAAAAGATAGGCTGCGAGATACTCAATAACATAACCGTTCACGTTGACTCGTGTACTAACATCGTATCCCTGTTCCGATAGCCATGAATGTGCCAAATGTGCCGCCACCTTGAAGCATTACCTTGCCGACGCTGTTTAACAATTCTTTTCCCCTTAATCCATATCTGAAAAAAGTTTCATAATTATATTCAAATTTTCTAATGCGTATGTACCGGTATTTTCTACAAATGCGTTTTAAATACCTAAGAGCAGAAAATCCTCCAAAGAGCGCACCAGAAGCCATTCCTACGCAAAATCCAATTGTAAAACCTAATTTCATTCTATCGAAACAAGTCGGTCCTTGTTGATAGGCCCCTCCAGGTACCACTGGCATCATGCAGCCTACGAAATAGTTGTAATGTCAATATTTGTTTCACTTTCCATAAACTATCTTTTTTTTATAGTTTTTAATCTTAAGTAATAATATCTTCAAAATGAAGAGAGAACTTGATAAACTGAATACACTTTTCTTAAATAGCTTTGCGAGTTTTTCATTTATGATAAATAGAAAAATTCTCCGAATTTTAAATAAAATTAAATGTTTTTATGGAGTTTATATTGACACATACAAGGTTGATTGTGCACACACTTACTGTTAAAGTGTCTATCACGTAATCTTGTGGCGTGTGCGATCGATCGAGAGTAATATTATTCTTACTTTTCAATTTTGTGTTTGATTATAATTTTTGTGCAATTACCGGAATTCCTCAATGCATCGCAATCGTATTACAATATCGAGAAGGTGCCATGATGGTTTTGCAACGTGATCGAAAAGACAGTTGCGCCGTCTGCTGTTTCCGTTTCGTCTGTACCGTCATCATCCGTGGCGGGAAATTTCAATTACATATCAGTGAAACACGTATATAAATTTTGTTTTGGGAAAAACTTAAGTCGATATTTGTTCTTATTTTAAGGCCGTCTTAAATAATGTTTTGAAATATTAATATGCGACTTTGGTTGGTATTCATATTTGATTCTTATATTTAAGACTATCTTAAGTACAATCTTAAGATGTGGTGAACTCGTAGTCAGAGCTATATTAGTATCTTAAAAAATATCTTAAGAATTACTTAAAATGATCATAAAATACAATATGATTGACGATTTTGAAATTGTATTTAAAACGGCCTTAAATATCTGGAGACACAGGTAGTGTCTCGACGCTAAGCATGGCGCGAGACACTGCCATACCTCCTTTAAGCCCTTGATTTCAAAATATTAGCTTCAGATTGACTGTCGCAACAAACTTGTGATCGATTTGTGTTTAATGTAGAATGGACTCTTTTTACGCGAACCGGCGAGTTGCGTCAAATCGAGGTTATCGAATTTCAATAATGGCTGTTAAAAACTATGAACGTACTAAGATTTATAATTTCTTTGCATTGTCTTGAAGTGTGTTTACATTCACATACAACTTCCTTTTTTTAAATAGAAATAGAAAAAGGAAGACATCGATTTTATATATATATATATATATATATAATATCCCGTATATATATATAATATATAATTGTATATTGAAAAGATCCGTCCGATTTGTTTCTGTTAATATATGACGCTATTATTTATTCTGTTTTCAGCCGCTATGATGTTTTATCATTACATCAAGATTGTCCCGACGACGTACGTTCGCGCGGATGGCTCAACCCTTCTCACAAATCAGTTTTCCGTAACGCGACACTCGAAAAAAGTATCACTGCTCACTGGCGAATCTGGGATGCCGGGTATATTCTTCAACTACGAGTTGAGCCCGCTCATGGTAAAGTACACGGAGAAGGCGAACTCGTTCGGACACTTCGCGACGAACACTTGCGCGATCATCGGTGGTGTGTTCACTGTGGCCGGTCTGATTGATTCGCTGCTCTATCATTCGGTACGTGCGATACAAAGGAAGATAGAGTTAGGAAAGTACAATTAAACATTTTGAATCTGGATGCAGCAGCATCAATTATCCTATTCCGATTCTAATTTCTTCTTTCATCGATATGATCGTGTTCAAATAATTTCGGAATGTATCGTCTCTAAGTAAGTGAGATGAGCTGAAAATGGATTGGAATTAGTAATAATCATTGATGTAACACGGCCTTACGGATAATCAGATTAACTAGGATTAATTAAAAAGAAGTATTATTAAAAATATTTGATGTTCTATTGAAGATCGAATTTTCTGGACAATGGTGCATTTTCATGCACCGTTTTTATTCAGTGTGACTATTCTCATCTCGTTTATATTAAAAGTATCTCAAATATATTATTGAACGATACTTAGCGTTATAAGTGCAATTGAGAATATTTTACAAAATATCTTTTTCATATGATGTAAAAAAGAAATTATACATAACTTATTATATAATGATAAGCTTTACTTTTTATTTAAAGGCGATAATTTTTTAGTTTTAACGATGTAAAAACCTATTTATATGTGATGTACATAAAAACTAGTAAAAATATATAAAAGCCTATTGAATTTTCATGGAAATAGGAATATCACTTTCAGAAATAATTTGAAAAAGTATCTATTAACATTTATTTACATTTATATTAAAATGTTTTAAGAAACGCATTGTAAATATCAACAGACGTCTTTGCGATATCTCTACAGAAGTCAATGTCTGTACTGCTTACTAAGGTCAATGGTGAAACATACATTGGTTTAGAAGGATCATACTGTGCCCTTTTCATTTCCACCAGAAACAAATGCCTTTGTTGGAGTCTAGTTTTTCGACAAAGTAAAATATGTGGCATCCGCGTAATAAAATCATGTTGCAACTGCATTTCGCTGTGAGCATAATCGAACGTACTTAGCAATCTGTCACGATCTGAAAGCACAATTTAAGAGAAGGTCAGGATAAATTTATTCACGAATTCTAAAATTATGTTGCTGCATACGCTTACTCTTGCTCCATAGCCTGGGCAGGGTGAGAAGCAATTTCTTCACTTGCATCTGATCGAAACCCATCTCCTCCCTTATACTGAATGTGTTTTGCATTAGATGTATCATCCTAAATGTTACTACTTTGGGTCCCTTGACTGTTAGGTTTCTGATTTCATTGCCATTGAGCTTGAAGTTGCTCTGGAAGTAACCGAGCCTGCCATCTATATCCTTTGTACTGAACGAGAGCCAGTTGGGATTCTTGCAGATTATTGTCTTTATCATCGACACGCTGAAATTATGTGCCCTCAAGTATCTTATTCTCGTGTGTAGATCGTCCATGTCCTCCTTGAAGATGTTTGGATTTTTTGTAATGAATGTACCTAAGTAATCCGCAGGTACTCCGCAGTCATGTAGGAATGTTATATATGGTTTCATGTGATCGAAGTCAAGGTTCAGGATATACTGTACCATCCCTTCTTTTGCCTCAAACTTGTACAAACTGACTCCAAGGTCTACCAGCTTCTGAATCGTGCGGGACTTGTTCGCATATTTAGCGAAACTGAAGGTCGGAGTAAGAGGCGGACCAATGTCTGACAGGTCTTCGGTGCAAACGTCCAGAGGATGCGGCAATTTTATGTCACTATCATCTAGATAGTCTTCGCGAGCAAACGAAGCTATGTTTGTAGTATTGTTCAGGTTAGGTCGCGGTTCTAGCGCATAATTTTCATCCTCGGTCTTTGGTGGTTCTGACAAGACACTCGATTTAGAGGAAGCGCTTTCGACGTCTCTTTCGAGCTCCTTCGATACGCATTGTCTCGACCCATCGCTTCTTGAGACAAATCTAATTAAATCTATCGCGACCGGTCGTGCCGTCGACATGAGTGAGCAACAACGTTGAAACATGTTCGATACCTGTCAGTTCTGTCACCGCATCAGTGTCAAGTAATTTAAGTTAAATACCGACGAATTGTTGAATATCACACACTTTTGCTAAAGAAAAACGTTCTTATAATTTGTCATTCAACAGATACATGCTGTTATAAAAAACTGAGTGCAGCCATCTTTTAAATCTAAGCTCCCCTAGTATTTAAGGAATGAACTACATAGTTACATTTATGAATTTTTTCGATGGATAATATAGTTTTGGTTTCTCGCGCATTCAATATTATTTAAGATTACATTAAAAAAATTTTATTTGATACACACAAAGATACATACAGGATGTTGATAAGTAACGATAAAACTCTCGCATAGGGATAGAGCGGAATAAACTGAGTCGAAAAGTCCTCTACCATTTTACAATTTTCGCAAGTTAATAAGATATTAAATACTAAAAATCGCTGAATATTGGTTTTTATTAATTTTTTACTCAAATACTATCAACTTTACAGAAAAACAGCAAATGACAAATGTTTATTTTCTTCTCATAAAGTTCTGAGAATTTTTCAGAATTTTTTAATTAATTTTTTAGTACTGCATTTTTTTATTGGAAACTATTTTTATCAACATGAGAAAATGCGATAAAAAATTCTGAAAAAATTCTAAAGCTCTATGAGAAGAAAATAAACAATTTTTATCTCTTACTATATTTCTGTAAAGTTGATAGTACTTGAGTAAAAAATTATTGAATATTATATATTATATATATGATTTTCAATACAATATTCATTTTTAGTAATTGATATCTTGTTAACTGTTGCGAGAATTGCAAAGTAGAGGACTTTTCGACTCAGTCCGCTCTACTTCTATGTAAGAGTTTTTATCGTTGCTTATCAAATGTCCTGTATATAATATGTACATGTAATGTATACTATACTGCGCATGACTTAACATCGAGATACTACCAGTATCTCTTGATTATGTCGATATTATATTTTATCGTATTGTAAAATTTTCCTCGAAAAGGACGATTTTGGAATATGTATAAGTCTAGATAGTAATATTATTAATAAAATAGCATTAAACCCAGACGATTTATAATTCAGAATGTCAGAATTCAGAAGATCATTTTATTTATATGCGGCGTAGCGCGAAAAAGAATCGAAGTTAGAATACTTAAATAAAATTAAAATATGTAAAATATTTAGCTCGAGATTGCTAAACAAAAATTAATAATTATAAAGGTCAAAAAACACAAGCAACGTTTATTGGATCTTTAAAAATAAACTAGTTTATTACAATATGCTTAAGAATTAATTAGTTTTTTATTCATAAATAAAATAAAATATATAATTTATTAAACGTGTGTAGTTTTGATATATATTACATTACGCATATATTTAAATAATGTATAAAATATATGTTAAAATAATATATATATCTTGTACATTAAAATACTCTGTATAAAAAGTTAGAAACACATCAGACTTCGATCCTCAAATCGTGGATTTAAAAAATAATCAGAATATCTATAAAACGTAATTATAACTTAAGTTATTGCCATGATTGTCTCAGATTTATTTGTTTTAAGCATGCCAATAGTACTTCGTATAGTGATAATAAATTTGTATCGCGTTTGCATGAGTTATCTATAATGATACTTACGTAGGAAAACATATAAATGTATAAGTGTACGAATCCATACACGCTCAAGTACATTTAATAAGATTTGCAATTTGCCGAGTCAGCGTTACGGAAAGGAAGGCGAATGAAGAATGCGAAGAGCAAAACGCGAGACATTTGTATGAACAAATACTCTTTTATTATCTTAAAATGATTAAACGCGTTATATTAAATATAAAGGCGGCAAAGTAATGCGCTTTGATTTACATCAATATACAATATACAATTGAAAACAATATAACACATCACACCCTGGCACATCTTATGTTCCTTCGTCAAAATCGTGAAGCACGACTCGTAGTCGTGGAAGGCTGTTGCTTATACTTGCAAAACTCACGCAAAATTCCCTCGCTACACACACACACAAAACACACACACACACATACACACATACACACAGATGTTATTGTGTTATCTGGGTCCTTAATTAATACATTATGTCTCTTTACAGCGGAGCTATTACAGTGAAAGTGACGTGCTTGCGCTATTTTATGTAATAAGTACGTTAATTACACATATTAAGAACACTTTGATTTTCATGATCAGTGTCTGAATATCAAAACAATATGAATAAACTAGTGGAATGTTCTTTATGGACGACCTCGACCAAGCTGCGATTAATTGCCTCCGGCGGTATTATGATGAATGTATTAAATGCAATTTAGCTCATAAGCAAAATCATTAACTTTTTTTTTCATTTCCACTACACGTTAAAAAATTAAAGGTCACAGATGCTATGCTAATTGTATAATACAGTTGGATATTTTTCTGCTAGGCAATTAGTCACTGATTAAATAGATAATTTAATTACAGTTGCTAAAAAAATGATAGTTATGATTACAGTTTGGTCGAAGTTGGCCTTAAATAATAAGACAAGAACAAGCACGTGGCTTGCTGCATTGTCATGCTCCTTCTGCGTAGTTATTGTTCGTAGCACGACCGATTATCTGTCATCAATCCAGTTGCGTTTCGCATATCAAATGGGTTAATTCCATAAAATCGTTGTGTGTAATACGGCACGATATCGGGAGGTACGTTCTAACGGAGAGTTTGACTAGGCAACTCCGACGTGCATTATCGTTCCGATTGTACCGATGTATTGTTTTATTTATTTCCCCTCCCTTTTCTGTTGCGCAAGTTTTCGCGTGTAATATCAAACTGGCTAATCGGCGTTTCACGGTCGAGTTCAGAACGATTATTAAGTCGACAATGGCTAAAAATACATAACGCTCTGTGAAATCTAGCTGTAAGTCGACGTAAATATAATTCTCTCTTGTCCTTAAATTAAATAGCACATATGTCTTGCACTCTCGTTCCGCCGCGTGTTATGACTAGATTTTCGGATCTTCACTCGTGTTTCAGCCGGGCAGCCGTTACTTCGTTCGTTGCTTCGCCATCCGACTGGCGAGGTCGGACAGTTGTTCTCACATTTGTCGCCTCACCGTCCGATTGGCGAGATCGGGCAATCGTTCTTTCATTCGTCGCCTCACCGTTTGTCTGGCGATTTATGGCTTGCTGCCGCAACTGAGCTCGCTTCAAGCTCGTCATTAATTGACTGGATTGATAAAGCCAACTGGCCTGAAAGGTCATAACATTATATGCACGTGTCGAACTTTTAGAATGCATATTCGTTCAAAATCGAATCTCGAAGCTAATTTAGCTAATATACTCACCACCATGATCATGCAGTTCATTAAAATAGGCACAGAGAAAACGATGGATATAAACCAGCCTTGTGAGTCGAAGTACTGCTGTCTAGAAAATACCCTGTGAAAGTTGTCAAGGAGATTATTAAAAGGAAAAATCTAGAGGAAAGAGAAAAGAACCGCTTTGACAAGCCATGGTACCGATTGAATACGTACATCCAGTTTGTCGCCGCAACCTCGTTAATACTTTCTGAGAAATAAACCAGGAGTACTGAAACAGAAAGAGTTTGTGGTAATATTGCGGGAACTAGACAAAATCCACGGCAAATTATAGTAGACTCTTACAGAGCACGAGAAACAGGATTATCTGAAAATTCGCGTGGTTCCTTGTCATTAACGCGGTCATTGTGATGGCAATATGAAAAGTCAATAGCGCAGCTAGCCATGGATCCCTCCAATCGATCTGCAACAATATATCCACACAAAAGATATTAATAGCGCTTAATAAAAGTAGCAAGTATTGTTATTGTTACATTAAAGAGTTCTTTAATATAATTATAGCTATATTACAGAATCTTGGAATTATATTAAAGAGTTCTTTAATATAGTTGCAAAACTCTTTAATATAACTGCAAGGTTTTTTAATATAACTGAGCAAGAGTCTTTAATATAATTGATTCTTGCATTTATTTATACATATATAGTTCCTCAATAGATTTAAATATATGAACCAATCCCGTTGAAGAATCTTACAACAGCTGCTTTTTCTGCTGAACGCGATGCTTTAATCTGGAGTAAATGAAACTGACATCGAAATCTAATCTTTAAATAGGAAAACTGTGCTATAATCTTATCTCCCAAAATATCCTTTCACTATGTTTAGCGGAACTGCAAAAGCGAAAGGAGAGTAGGATAAGGTCCATTCCAATTTCGAATATGCTATAATTCTGAACAAAATAAGATTTAGACCGAGATATTCATATTCGATTCTTATATTTAAAACTGTCTTAAGTACAATCTTAAGTCATAAACTAATGTCATAAACTAATTAGAAAGTATTAGTATCTTAAGACATTAAGATGGTTTTAAAATAAAAACTATTATGAATACTAATCTTATCTAATTTCGAAGTTCAAGTTTGACAATCTTGATTTCATTGTAGAGTGTACAAAAGGCATCACCAAACAGGAAAAAACTAAACTCAAGAATTAGATTACAGGTAAAAAAAGGAGCATTAAAGTCTACACTAGTTCTTAGTGATAAAATTTTTCTTTTTAAGTAACTGCTTTAATCATAAATATTACAAACATAAACGTTTCGACTTTCTATTAGATAATCTTTAATATACAAATACAATAAGTTTCAATTTCCCTAATTCTCTATAAACTAATTTTTTATAAAATCTAACTTATGATACTTTAATTTTGGTTTATATGATACTTTTATGAACTAATTTTCTATTAGGTTGATGACCTAATAAAAGATCGAAACGTTTTAATTGAAAGAACCAGTGTAGGCTTTAATGCTCCTTTTTTTAACTAGTTGATTTATTCTGTAAACCGATCCAATTATACTGTCAAAAATTAGATTTAAATTATTTCATTCACTTAGAATTGCACCGTATGAGATTGTAGCACTTTATCCCAATACATGTTTCTTACTCTCCCCCTTATCGTTTTAGCGATTTTGTTACTCGCACAAGGTAATCTTGCGAAGAAAGGATTGAAAAAACATTCGACAGCACGCGATAACTGTTTAAAAATATCCAGAGAGATTCTGGAAACCAAATTACGCAGCATTTTCGCGAGGGACTGCACGAGTCTCTCAGCAACAGGACGCCCTTGAGAATGCAGTGTGTCCATGACGAAAATAGAGACGAAGATATAATCGGTAATTTTTCGCCGCCACCTCTTCGTCCAGGACGATAAAAGGAGGTCGCGGTATCGGCGGAAGCCGATTGATTTCTATTCACGTTTCCTAATTCGCGTCTCGTCGCGCACGTCGATAATAAGATAAAGAATTCGTGGATAGATCAAGGCTCGATGTGTCAATAATGTATACATAACGCGAATGTTCAAACGATCGACGCCGCCGGCTGCGTCGAAAACGAAAGTTGCCGGTGAATGTGAATTACACGCCGTGCAGGAATCTGGAATGTGAGGATGTCGTATATACAGATAATGTGCAAATATTAACGTATTGCATGATACCTGTTTTTATCAGTTTAATTTTAATCTTGATTCAACTCTTCTTTTCTAATTCCGGGAATTAGAAAAAGATAAAGCAATGTCCGTTTTATTCAATATAAATTAACTTTAATTTCGATTCAACTTGTGTACTTCATCTTTTTCTAATTCTAAGAAATTTGTATTTCACGTTTTTCGAATTTTTAGAATTAGGAAAAGATGAAGTACACAAGTTGAATCAAGTTTATTAAAATTAATTTATGTTGATAGAAACGGGCATTAATGACACGAAGTTCGTACGATTTATGCTCACATTTCTACTAATGTATAATATAGATTAAAATTTTAATTTTGGTTTATTTGTTTATCCTTTTTTTAATTCTTTATTTTATTTATGCGCACTTATTTCCATGCTTAATTTCTACTTTACATGCTGTTTTTATTCTGCTTTCTAGTTCTCTTTCTTAAAACTAGAAAGAAATAAAAAGTAAGTTAAATAAAGATTAAAGTCAGTCTATATTTATAGAAACGCATTAATGGAACTGTATATGAATTTAAGTTCGTATAATGAGAATGTGTTTGCATTTGTAGTGAATTTAAAACGGAAATAATGATGAGAATTCAGAATGAAGGAGTACATTTTTGTGATGAACTGTGCGACAGCACATAAATTTCCATTCTAAATCATACAAACATACGTACATCTTCACCTTCATTGAATCGCACAATTTTCATATTCGTTGTCTGTGCAATTTTGTTTTTTTTTTATGGTGCATTCAGCGATTCTTCTTCTGGATTATAAGCCGAAAAACGTTGCAGAAAGTCCGTTTTTACTCGCGTTTAATTCCCTCGTGCTTCTCTACTCTTCTATTCTTATCTTTCAATCACGAGATGCAACGTCTGCTCTAATTCCTCACTCTTCCTCTTCTATATTTTTTCTCCTTTTCCCTCTTCCTTCAAATTCCGCGAATAATACATTTTTAACGATACAATGATAATTTAAAGCTCAAACAAATCAAAATAAATTAATTAAAAGATTTAAATTAATTAGTAAATTAAAAACGTATTACAAATAAAAAAATGTTAAAAATTTCTACAAACCAAAGCTAATTGTTTAATGCTAAAAGCACTGAACTAAAGCATTAAACTATTAAATAAATGAAAAATTAAATTACTAAATAAAAACTATTAAATTAAAAAACTATTAAATTATTTTTAAAAACTTTATATTAAAACTACTAAATAAAAACTAAAATTATAAAGCTATTGAAAAAATTAAAGTTGTTAAACCATAATTCTAGCAAAACAACTAGCTCTGATTTGTATAGTTCTTTAATTAATTTTTTTTTTTATTTGTAATACATTTTTAATTTAGTAATTTAAATCCTATACAAAAAGCACAAGTCCGACTAAAGACTATAAAAAGAGGACTGTAAAAAGCTTTTGGCTGATGCAGTATCCCGACGCGATGTACCTCCCAGAATCACGTGCGTAATCCTGATTACGATATGAACGAGTGTAACTGGCTCGAGAAAATGAGTGTCTTGTATATATATATATATATATTTTTGACACCAAATGTCAAAGCGGCGCGAGAATTATTGCGAAACGATGAACCACGTAATCATACGGCGCCGGTGCTTTTTGGAGCAGCGACTCCAATTTCTCGTCTTCTCATCCGTAATCAAAAAATGGAAAAAATTTGGATTTAATAGGCGGTCAGCTGACGTCGTCGTCGCAAGATCCAGAACGCCCGCGTTCGAGGAAAAAAGAAAAATAAGTTTGACGAGGAACTGTCACCGCGGCACTGGAAACAACGAGCGATGCCGCAACAAAACGGAGAAATAACGAAACGGAGGAGTACAGAAGAGAGACAGAATAAAGAAGAAAACGAGAGAACGAGAAAGAGAAGAAAGAGACGGATGAAACTCACGCTTTGCAGGAAGGGCCAGATACCGTCGATGCTGTCCGTCGCTGTGAAAAGGCTGTGAAACGGCTCATCCCTCGACATCGTGTGCCCGTGACGTGCGGGTCTTCGTATGAATATGTATTACGACGATGACGGCGGCAACGATTGGGAGGCGCCGAGAGAACAAGTGGAGGCGGAGAAGAAGGCGAGCGCATCCGCACGATTCCGAAAATTTCAAACACACACGTACTGTTCTTACAGCTACCGGCGGCGCGACTCGACTCGCGACTTGCGACTCGCGACTAACCGACTCACTGTGAGGTCTGACTGACCGGACCGGACTGAACTGGACCGAAATGAAATATGCGACGGGCGACGAGCACCGTGACAGAATCGCCTGAGGTGCGTTCCAAAACTTGACTGTCAACTCCAAGTATCTTTTAGCTTTGTTCAGCATTCGGTGAACAATAAAGATAAAATAATACTCGGAATATTAGTATACTCGGATTGTGATAAAGTCGAGTTTTACGACTTTGAGTGAACGGAGCGAAGTTAGCGTACAATTGCGCGATGCAAGAACGCTGGTCAACTTAACTTATATAAATACTATGCGGGAAACGAGAGGAAGAGGGAGATGTTAAAGGCGTGTTTACAAACAGGTTTGCGATAGTCGCGTATTCAATTAGGTCTTGTGGTCGATTAATTGTATATCTCGAAATGAAGTAAAAATTATAAAAATGGGCGAATTTAGTACACATTATGAAATATTTATGTGAATCATTTTTTGAAATATTTCAATAAAATATATTAGAAATATTTCATAAACGCAGATTTAATTTGTAAAACATTTAAAAATATTGCATTAAAATATTTCACTAAAATATTTTTGAAATATTGTACAAATATTGTAAGAAAAGAATATTTCAAAAATTTTGATTTTCTGAATATATTTATATTTCAAAAATATTCATGAAAAATTTTTTTAATATTTCAAATCTTACAATAAAATTTTTGGGAAATATTTCTGAAATATTTCATGTTATATAGATTGAGTTGATCAATGAAAATATATTCTTAGTAAATTCGCTCACTTTTGTAATTTTTATCTCGTTTCAAATTACATAATCGGCATTGTTCTTTCCCAAGTACATTATTTTGACGTCAATGTTGTCATAAATGCCATTTAAACATCAGAAAAGCAAATAATGCATTAACTGCACCGCTGAATAAACATCCATCTTGTTTCGAATGTATAAGAGATATTGATATAGCAGTATAGTTAAAACGAATAAATATAATGTTCTCTTTACTTTTGATTTATGATAAAAATGTCATTAAAATTTAAAATATATCTCGTTGGTAATTTACATAAAATGTTTCGAATGGCGATACGTACATTTAAAAAAAAAACAATTATTTAGCGTATTTAGCGCCGCCCTATGATCGAGTATCTGAATCTGTATTATCTGCAGCTATATTCAGTGGGTTAGAAAGGAAATTATCCGTGAACGTTATATGTGTTTGGTCGGTTATTGTACGTGTATTGTTGTTGTATAAATTTTCAGAAATGGCAAGTAAAACGAAACTTATTAATCTGACTAGGATGTCCAGAATATTTCAAGGAATAAGATCGTTCGATAGCGTAGAAAAGACAGATATTACGTCTAAAAGTCATAAGGTATGTATACCTTTTTAAACATTAATTAAACATTTCTTGAGATTTATTTATGCCCATTTCCACCAATTTATAATTTTTGTTAAAAATTCACAACTTTTGTTAAAAATACTGTTTTAACATCATAATTATATCAAGTAAATTGTTTTCATCAATTAAACAACTGTGAAAAAATTATTTATTTAAGATCTGTTTACGTACGACTTACTCTTCGTCTTTTTCTAATCTTTAGAAAAAGGCAAAGAGTAAATTGAACCGAAATTAAAGTTAATCTGCATTGGTGGAAACTTTAGGTAAATAATTTTTTCACAGTTTTGTTTAATTGATGAAAACCATTTACTTGATATAATTATGATGTTAAAACAGTATTTCTAACAAAAGATGTAAATTTCTTGAACAAATTTACTATTAAAAACTAATAGTATTTTTAAACATATTAGATATTTAGTTTCAAATGTTTCTTTAATTTTGTATAAGTACTTTCCATTTAGTAACACAAGTCAATATAAATTCTATCTTTCTTGACCCAATCCAATGATTAATAAAGACGAAATGGCACTTGTATCGATTTGTGTCATCAAATAGAAATAAAAATGCCTGAATTAAATGACAGATTTTCTTTAACTTAAAAACTTTACCTTTAATTTTTTTATTTCAGTTAATGATCAATTATGGAATTATTAAACCACTTAGTATTGGCATGTATGCTCTATTGCCATTAGGAATGCGAATTTTAAATAAATTAATTGATATTGTTGACAAAGAAATGATGAATATTGGCGCACAAAAAATACTACTTCCAGCATTAACTCCTGCTGCACTGTGGAAGAAAACTGATAGATATGATTCCAATAAAACCGAATTGTTTACACTTACGGATAGACACAAGAAAGAGTATATATTGAGTCCAGTAAGTAAGAAATATATTATAAAACATTTTCCTCTATCAAGTACTACTTCAGATAAAATTTTGAGTTTTTTGAAGAAAAACTGAAAAATTATTTTCTAGAAAAGCCAACCTATTATTTCGATTAATAGAAATTACTTAAAAGCTATTAACTAATAAGGTGAATCTTTTACAATACCAATATAATATATCCATTTTTTTTTGTTTATCTGAAATCTCTCAAATAATTTTATATTGCTACAGACACACGAAGAAGCAATCTGTGATTTGATATCGTTAGCAGGACCAACTGTCCCGATTTCTAAATTATTACCTTTGAAGTTATATCAAATTTCTAGCAAATGGCGAGACGAAATGAAACCACGACTTGGTTTCCTACGTAGCCGAGAATTTATCATGAAGGACTTATACACATTTGATAGTAGCTTGGATAACGCACGACATACATATGATTTAGTCTGCGAGTCTTATAATAATATTTTTAGGCAGATTGGTATAAAGTATACAAAAAGTAATTAACATTTCTAATTGTACATTAGAATCTACATATTTTATAGATATATAGTTACCAACGTTTGGAATGACCTTGTAGAATTATTTAATGATGATTATTAAAAGGTATAGGTGATGTGGGAACAATTGGAGGTCTGATGTCACACGAATATCATTATGTGTCTGATATCGGTGAAGACACGATACTTCAGTGTCCATCATGCCATTTCTCTATTAATCAAAGTATTTCTAAGACGACGAGTTGTCCAGAATGTAAAAATGAACTGCATTCATATACTGCTGCTGAGGTAATGTAAAAATTTCTTGAGGTAATGTAAAAAATTATATTTTATTTAATAACTAATTGATATAAATTAAAGGTATAAACATGCGAACGTTATAAAAAATATATTACATTGCATAAACGATAATTGCAGGTAGGGCATACATTTTTATTAGACACAAAGTATTCACGGCCATTAGAAGTGATGTTTTTTATGGAGCAGAATAAACCGACACCTATGGTAATGGGCTGCTTCGGTTTAGGATTAAGTCGTATCATTACATTAGTTGTCGAAATCTTGTCAATAAATGATGAGATGAGATGGCCTGTAAAATTAGCACCATATACAGTATGCATCATACCACCAAAGGTAGGTAAAATAAAAAATATAACTGTATATCTATTAAAGAATATTCTTTGTTACTATCTTGAAATTTACAGGCTGGAAGCAAAGAAGAAAGTACATCTGCCTATATTGAACAGCTATTTGAGATATTCTACAAACGCAATATTGATACAATATTGGATGATCGCACGCATTACACGATTGGTAAACGATTAGTGTTCGCGCGTCTATTGGGTTATCCTTACATAATTGTCATTGGCAAAGCGGCAACCCAATCGATTCCTTTATTTGAAATTCATGATGTGAATAATTCAACTTATCATGAATTATCGTTAGATCAGATGAATGATTATTTCGATAATATAAGTGTTAAAGATTAGAGATATGAACGGATATACAGTATATATGTAAGAAATTGAAATGCTAGTGAATATTGTTTATTATGCACTTCTTTACAACAAATGTAAAAATTATACATTTTTGTGAATAATACCAATTTTTTTACTATTAACCTTTATATTATTTAAATATACATATAAAAATTTAATGAATGAAGAGTTAACGATTATTTAACAATAATTAAAATTTTTTATGTTTAAATAGTTCAATATCTGATAAGACGTTGATCATGATTGAACCTAAATCGAGAAAATTGAGACTTGCATGCGAAATGCCATTTCTCTCAGCATCTGTCTATTTACATTACAATACTTTTTTATTGAAAATTCTTTTGAAAATCTAAAATTCATAAGCGCTATATATCACTTCAAAATATTGATATTATTGTAATAGAATTGCAAGGTAATAATACATGTAGAAAGATATTAGAGATAAAAGAGAAATGCTTTACTAAATATATAATTATATACATATATTTACTATAAAAAATAACATGAATTCTTATTTTGTTGACTTATAAAAGTTAAATAAAAGCCATAGTCAAATTTATAAACACTTATTAAAATTTAAAAAAATATTGGGAAATATGCTAAGAATATGATGATAATGAATAAAAATGAAAATTTTTAATAAATTTCCACTGGACTTTATATAGAATCTGAATTGTATATTGGTGTAAAAGTACGGCTTATTATAAGAGGATCGATTTGCACAGAATTCCGATGCAAATTTCCCAATTGACCCTCAAATAATATGTCATTTATAGCTTTTTTGGCATAAATTTGTTGTTCTCGGGACATTTTTGGCAGTTCTATAGCCCAAGCCTTAGCAATTTTGTCATATTCATTTTCATTTGATTTAAGACATTCGCATGCAAAACCCGTATGTTCATCTTGTGCATTTTTCTTTCTTTTTTCGATTGTTATCTTTTCTTTTATTTGGCATGTATTGTCTTTCTTGATCTCTTTCCGGTTCTCATTTTCTTTATATATCTGC